TATGAACTAAACACACATTTGATTATCAAGATATTCTAAAATAGTAACGATAATGTAAAAAAGAAGAGTGTTCTTTCAATTGATTAATTCAGGATACAATTAAATAGTCTCTTGATGAGATAATTTGTATTTCTGGATTCAAATCAATGAAATAACAGTTCCTGTCCCCTGAAGGTCTTCAGAGACAGATTGAGGTCGGAGGCCTAGTTCACTACACACTGTGCTTGCTCAGGATGGGAGACTGCAACAAAGCCAAGATTCAATTTGTCTACTGGCCTCCTTAGATAGAGAACTTTACTAATTGGCTTTTATGTATGTGAATGTTCCTGTAAAGTGCCCTGAGACAACTTCGTTGTGATTTGGTGCTATATAAATAAACTGAATTTAATTGAACACTTCAGCTTGTGACTGCTGGTGGAATCAAACCCCAACCCTTCCATTGGAGGACGATTGCTCTAACCAGTCAGCCACAGCTGCCCCTGTAAATCATGCTGTTGGGCTACAGCAGCACATTGATCTGGAAGAGCAAATTACCCAAGACCAAGCAAAAACTCTAAAACTCTAAATTCACCAAACTTTTTGTTGCAGGCGTTTTTCAAATGATTTTTTCCATTATGAAATTAGACAAATTTACAGTTTTATAAACATTCAGTCCAGTTGCAGTTTGCGTTTCTCAATAAATTAATTATTTTTATGAAATGATGTCAGTACAGCACTAAACGTAAACAATCTTGTCTTTATAAAGTTTTACATTCTAAAGCATTGCATTTATTTTCCAGTTTGTGTCTGTGTGGCTGACACCTTGTCTACTTTTAAGATTAGGCTTAAATCTTTCCTTTTTGATCAGTTCTATAATTAGGGTTAGTTTGGGTTTCCTGAGCTATCCATTAGGTATGCTGCTATAGGTTTAGACTGCTGGATGACAAACAGACAACATCTTTTTCACTCTGTTGCTGTCTTCCACCTAAGACACAATGGTACATGCTCTATTCAACCGCTGCTCAACTGCCTGGCTGACATCAGGGACTGGATGGCTTTAAATTTCTTAAGTTTCAATGAAAAGAAGTCTGAAGTCATGTTGTTCCATCCCAACGACACGATCACAAACCACTGCATCGACCTCCGCTCTAACCCTGTCAGAAAAACAAAGAGTCACTAATCTGGGCGTGATAATGGACCCTTCCTGAAACTTAACAATCATGTAAACATGATTGTTAAATCATGTTTCTTCCAACTGAGGCGGCTGTCTAAACTGAAGCCCATATTGTCCAAAAAGAACCTGGAGACAGTAATACATGCATTCATTACATCTAGGCTTGATTACTGCAATTTGCTCCTGTTTGGTATCAGTCAGACCTCCATTGCACGACTACAACTGGTCCAGAATGCAGCAACCCGATTTTTAACCAGTACAGGCAAAAGAGAGCACATTACACCAGTTTTGGCCTCACTGCACTGGTTACCGGTTCACTTTCGAATCCAGTTCAAAATACTCATGTATGTCTACAAATCACTGAACAGTGTCGCCACCCCCCATCTCTCTGATTTGCTACAACCGTATGTCCCACCACGCTCCCTGAGGTCAGCGGACCAGTTGCTCCTCACAGTTCCAGGAACTCGTCTTAAGTGCAGAGGTGACAGGGCCTTCTCTGTAGCAGGACCAAGACTCTGGAACAAGTTACCTCTGCTTGTCAGACAGGCCCCCTCCCTCTCGGTTTTCAAGTCCCGTTTAAAAACTCACTACTATTCAGTAGCTTTCAACACAAGATGATCTGTGTTTTGATCCTGTATGCTCCACACTGGTTTGTCGTCAATATCTGCATCATTTTTTGTCTATATTCTGATTTACCTCATTTTGTATTTTGCTTTGTGTGTTACCTGTTGTTTTGTCTGTACAGCACTTTGGTTGGCCTTGTTCCTGTTTTAAGTGCTTTATAAATAAAGTGGTATGGTATGGTATGGTCTTTACTTGCTCTGCCTGTTTGTATATGTAATTATTTATATCTTAACATGTGTTTTTTGTCTTTCTTCCTATAGAAAGTACACTTGGACCTGTCATTCTGTGTTTGTTTGTCTCTCCTTCCTGTCCTCTCAAACCCAGTCGGTTAAAGCAGATGGACAATCGTCCTTAGCCTGGTTCTGTTCGAGGTTTCTTGCTGTTAAAAGGGAGTTGTTCATTTCCACTGTTGCCTTTGTGCTTGTTCAGGATGGGAGATTTGACAAAGTTAAGATTCAACGAGTCTGCTGGCTTCCTTAGATAAATACTATTACTAATTGGCTTTTATAATGTGTGTAAATGTTTCTGTTCAGTGCTACGAGACAACTTCTGTTGTGACTTGGTGCTATATAAATAAATTTAATTGAATTGAATTTATATGATAAAAATCTGAAGAACCATTCACAGCCATTCAGTAGCTTTACATATCCTCCTGCTACAGAAACATGTTGTATAAGACACAACTTAACCTTGCTCTTAATTCCAGATGGCTGTTGATATTTACTCATTGTTATTTTATTTGCAGTTCTAATTTTCAAATAAAAATACGTCTATTTAAATGTGCTACTTTATAAAGAAATGTTCAATGTGGT